TTTTTCTATGATTTCTTATTTATTATTTAAAAAAATTACTCCCTTTGTTCCATTTTACATGACAGCTGGAATAGGAGTTCAAAATGTTACTCTGACTTGTATATTGTATCAAATAATAATTGAAGAAAAATATTAAAGTAATGGTTGAAAAGTTACCTTAATAGAGGAAAGATCAAGTCAAACTTAAAAATTTGAATAGTGTAGTGATTTGAATTCTGGAAAGTTGTGAAATTTGTATAGAAATGGAATTAGAGTCAAGCATTTCGGAACGTCCCAAAATAGAAAGTGGCCTTGGAAAGGAAAGAAGAGCGTTTTTCTTTGATTTGTTAATTTGGAGCAATAAGATGGATTGCCGCGCAAGATTATTTCAATGCCTATCAAAAGGAAATAGATTGCCTTTTAGAACTGTCATTTGTTTATAAAGTATGATGGCTAACTTTGGTCAGTCTCTTCTCCTTTGCGTGTTGATGGCTTGTTCGTGCTTAAAGACTTCCTGCTGATGAGTATTATGTTTGGAGAACTGTTATTTTCATTTCATCTGTTTTGTTGCATTATATCTAATTTATTTATCCCTCTTTATTGTTTTTCCTTAGTTTCTGTTTGTGCTGAGAGGGAAGTAAAATGTTTGTCAGGTATTTCTCTTCCGGTCATGGGCCTCAGTTAGAGTTATGACGGCTGATCAGCGGGCTGAACTCCTTAAGCGTGTTATTAACGATGGCCCGCACAGAAAACTTTCATTCAAGGAGTGTGAGGAGATTGCTAAAGATCTGAATTTGACTTTGGAGCAGGTTCTTCTGTGTTTTCTTTTGCCCACTCTCTGAGTTGCAATAAGAAAATTGTTTAATGAACTTACAGGACATTTCGAAGTTGAATTTGTTAAAGAAGTACTACTCTGGCTGATTATCTCACTTATCTCACTTATCTAACTGTTAGACTTGATGAATTTGTAACTATATCTTTGTATTAGGTAGCACATTTAATTAATGTATCAATGAATGCATCAAACAAGCACCCAAGGGTGTGGCCTAGTGGTCAATAAAGTGGGTGAGAACCATGAGGTCTTGGTTCAAATCCCAGAGGAGGTAAAAACACTAGGTGATTTCTTCCCATCTATCCAAGCCTTGGTGGACAGAGTTACCTGGTACCTGGCACCTTTGCTGGTGGGAGGTGGCAGGTATCCAATGGAATTAGTCTATGCGGGCGGAAGCTGGCCCGAAAACCACGGTTATCAATAGGAAAATAAAAAAGATTGCATCAAATGACGCCTAATGATCACTTTTATATGCATGAAAAGCTAAAAAGTAGTTTCCATTAGAAATCATCTTGATTGGGACTCTCATGTAATGAGTGAAGAAATTATTCTAGACCTAAAGGGTTAGTCGTTTTATTGTAGAAAACTGTGTTTTTGTTTGATTAAACAAATTTAATTAAATTAATATTTGGGCTGTCACATTCTGAGAGGCTTTCTTACATGTCACAGGGGAAAAATTAGCTAATTCCAATTATAATGTCTCATTTAATGATAATGGTATTCAAGCCATACATCTTCAGTCAGGTGACAATTCACTTGCAGGTACTTCGAGTCTATTATGATAAGCGACAACGAAGACTTACCAGATTTGAGCGAGCTTCAGATGCTGGAAAGGGCGAAATTCAACCAAATCAAGGTACACCTGCATTATCTCCAAAAAAAAGGAAAAGATCTGTAAAAGGGAAATCCTCAAAGCATACCGAAGCTGGCACCGAGTTTGGACGGCCCCATCAGACGTTTAGCCAGATAATCAATGAGGAACAAAGCTCTTTCCTGTCTACTTCTTGCCCACACACATGCAGCTTGGAGGAATATCACGCAAGAGATGACGTGGTAGCTGCTGAAGAATCAGAATTACCTGAAGATGACAGGGTAGGACGTGCTTTTCTTGCTAAATGTGCCTTGTCAAGAGTAAAGCCTACACGCAGGGGAAAGTTTCATTGGACAGATGATGCAGATAGGTAAATGTTTTGAATTATAGAATTTCTTCTACCTCGGGAGGTAAAAAAAACTAATGGCTGGTCGTTGTGACTTGTGAACAGATTTTTCAAAGTTCCTGATGACAATTAGATTCTTAAGCTTAAATCCTTGTCATAAAATTGGTGATTTACTGCCGCTCCCTTAATGCTTTATCCGTGTTAACCTGTTGCCTGGATCTATTTGTATGTTTATGCTTGTTACTTGGATTACATGAGAAACTTCATGTACAGGGAACTGGTGATCGAATATGCAAGACACCGAGCTTCTCTTGGAGCAAAATTCCATCGTGTAGACTGGGGAAAACTTCCAAATCTACCAGCACCACCTGATTCCTGCAGAAGGAGAATGTCGGCGTTATTGAGAACTAGTCCACAGTTCTGCGATTCTGTCATGAGACTGTGTAATGTGCTTAGTCAACGTTATGTGCATTACCTTGAGAAATTCCAAAATAAAACATTGAACGATGAGGGTCACCAAGCAATGCAATGTGATTTTTTTAAACTTACCTCAGACTTCCTCTCTCAAGAGCCGTGGGATAACTTTGATGATGCCAATATAAAATTGGCCCTGGATGATGCTCTGCGATACAAAAAGATTGCCAAATCGGCGACCGTGAAGGATGTTCAACCTTTCTTTGATAAGTGCTCAGATGTTAATACCGATGAAAGACATGTGAGATATTTCATGAGCTTGCGTGGCATGAATTTGTCCTGAATCTTTTAGATTTAGGCGTAGCATTTCGACAAAGATTTCAGCAACTTGAGATACCTGCACGTGCTCTAGATTGTTTGCAGAAGTGTAGCTTACTTGTGTTTTAAAAAAACAAACTGTGACTAACTCTATCTTATGTTTTCTTTACCAGATTGCTATTAGAATTTTTTTAATTTGGTTCATGTTCCCCTCTCTTTCAGGTTTCTTATGGTCCTCAATCAGTTTTACCACTTTCTAGTGGCCAATATGTTGAAAATTTTCCTGGAAAGACTGAAGATTCTAGTGCACCATTAAGCTCAAATAGGATCTTGCAGAAGTATGTGAAACTTACAATTGGCGGTACCGCCATTAGCAAACGGTTATATGAATCAGTAGCTGTTGCTAGTGCTGCAGAGCTATTTAAGCTCATCTTCCTCTGTAGTTCAAAATCTCCGCTTGTGCCGACCTTGCTTGCTGAAACTTTAAGGCGCTATTCTGAGCATGATCTCTTTGCTGCTTTCAACTACCTCAGGGACAAAAAAGTTTTGGTAAATCTTGTTTTTTACTATGTATTTAGCTGTTAGCCTTGGTATATTTCTGACTTACACTCCCTCCGTCTCAATTTATATGATGATCTTTCTGTTTTGAGAAGTTCCAAAGTATTTGATACGATTCCGTTAAGTATTTTACTTTATAAGATTTCCCCAACTTTTAAGAATTCAAATTCATCAAACTATTCACATGTGTACTTCAATGTGATGTAAGATTAGCTTTTCATTCATCTCTGTAATATTTTCGTCCACTACGCTAGTATAATAATGTCTAATATTTTGTGTGAGTCAAACGCCATATAGAGAGACAGGAGTATAAATTTACAGCTTTCTTTTGAAACTAATATTTCATCTATATCCTATAAACTTGAACTTAGAAATAAATGAAATTCAGTTTCAGTTTCTTTCAATAGGTGTTCTGTTGCTGCAAAGACCCACCCTGCATCTTGACCTATAAATTTTTTTTAAAAAAGAAGAGAGACTCATCCTGCATCTTTTTTTCTGGAGATAATTCCTAAGCTTTAAATCTTTTCTCCTTGCAGATTGGGGGAAATTCCAATAGTCCTTTTGTCCTTTCTCAGACCTTCTTGCATTGTATATGTATTTCTCCATTCCCACCTAATACTGGAAAAAGAGCTGCTAAGTTTGCTAGCTGGCTTTGTGAAAGAGAGAAGGAACTGATCGCTGAGGGGGTGGATATTCCAATTGATTTGCAGTGTGGAGATGTTTTCCACCTCTGTGCTCTACTTTCTTCAGGAGAACTATCAATTGCACCATGCCTACCGGATGAAGGTGTTGGAGAGGTTGAGGATTCCAGAGTAGCTAAACGTAAATACGATGACAGTGAATTTTCTGAGAGTGATACGTATAAAAAGTTGAAAACTTCAACGGCTGGTGATGGTGAGATTTGCTCGCGACGTGCAAAAGGTTTTCCAGGAATTAGGTTGTGCTTGAGGCATGCTGCATTTTCAAGAATAAAAACTATGGATTCACTCAAAGACATTGACAAATATAATCGCATACTATCTGTTGAAGAGCATCAAGCTGTTACTACATCAGGCGCTGATCTTGGCAGTGCCTCATTCGGCCCAGATGACCAAGTAAATGAACTTCATGATAGTGGGGTCCCATATACTGCAGTTTCTCCCACCGAGTCACCATGGCAAGCCATGACTACCTATGCTGAACATGTTTGTTCTTTCGGTTCTTGCCCTGAACAGAACTCTCTGGTACATCCAGAAATGTTTAGGTCTGTTTATTCTGCTATTCAAATGGCTGGTGACCACGGTTTGTGCATGAAAGACATCTCGAAGATTCTAAAGATGCAGGGTATGTAACCACAAACCTACAATGTCTTTTAACCCCTCCATTTAGATATTCATTGCATCTGGTAATTATTGTTTCAGAGAAAAAGGTTTCGGAAGCTGTTGTTGAGGTGCTAGAAGCATTTGGACGAGTTTTGAAGGTTCGTCTGAACTAACAGTTAGCTATCTTCCCTTGTTTTCCCTGTACACTGTCGGATGAAGTTTCATATGCACCTACTTAGAATTACTAATAAAAGAAGTCTGATGAAATCCTCAGTTGTGGTTTATCTGGTTTTATTTGTGATATATAATGATTTTCACTCATTTAACTGGATAGAAAATATTAGTAAAGGGATGATTTAAAAAGAAGTCTTTCTTGTAGAGAAAATAGAAGCTGTTTGGTTTATTTGTTTTTTTAACAGATCCATGTAATGGTTAGGTTGATGTGGATTCACCTGTGTAGATTTTTATGCTAGTTTTTTCTTGAAACTCCTCTAGTTTCTTCATCGTGGGTTTAACTTTTCTGTGTGGTGTGTTTGTCTTGTCACTTATGCATGTCTAAATCTTGAAAATTTACTTAATATGTACTGACGAACCACTCCTGAAAACCGATGGATATTACCTTGAAATTCTCAGGAGCCCCCAAACTATGATTATTTTTAGAATTATGGCTAACTTTGGTAGGTTTTAACATTAAATGACGGTTTTAAGTGCCACATGAGATAAAAGATTCAGAGGATTTACCATATTCACCTGAATTTTTTTGTAAAGCATAGTGCACCGAACCAAATAGGGAGAGAGGATGGGAATAGAAGCTATGAGCAGATGGGTAAATGCTTGGAAAATAAGTTCCCTTATGTCTTGAGTTGGTTTAGTGATGTAGAAAATTTTGGTAGGTTTAAAAATGAATAAGGTGACTAGGCACCAAACAAGTGTCTGTGTCTGCATAGTCGTCATAAACAAACACACATGGACTTCAAAATTATTGTATTACTAGTAGATTGCTCTTCTGTTTCACTTTTGGTGTGTTGTCATTCTTCTCATTAAAGGGTTAGCATGTCTCTTGTGTTGTGGATTCATATATCATTCAGCCCCGTGTTCTACGAATAAGATTGACTTACATGCTGAATTTGCCGCGGACCAGCTTCTTCGCATATTAGATTGTGTGGAGCTAGCCACTAATGCTCAAAATAAACCCATGACATTATGTACTGTGCTTGGTGTAGTTGTTTGTTTTACATGCGGGGTGATCAAAGGAAAGAAGGTATTGTGATAGAAGTCAAAGGGTATGAAACAAAGTACAGTAGATAAACCATTGGGCGTTCTGTTTGACTAATCATCTAGTGGGACCCAAAAATGCAGGTCAATGCCTATGATTCTATTCGGGTGGTTGATTCTTTATATCGTTCCAAGTACTTTTTGACTCCAGTGGCTGCTATTCATCAAGATGCTACATTATCTTCTTGTGGAGATTCTGAGGCTAAAGTCAATGAGTCTATTACCCACAATGGAGAAGATCATAAAGATGTTGAGTTGCAGAAGGAAATAAGTGGGAATTCTGATAAGGTACACAAAATCACAATTCTTAATCTTCCTAAAGCAGTTGCCGAACCTTCAAGTGAAAAGCAAGCCATCAATGAGGCCAAAGGTTGTCGCCATACTGAAGCTAGTTCACCCACAAGAAATCACCCAGAAGAACCATATGAGCTCCGCTCTAATGGTTTGCATTTGTGTAAGCCAATATTGCCTTGGCTAAATGGTGATGGTACAACAAATAAACCTGTCTACAAGGGACTTGTACGCCGTGTTCTTGGCATAGTGATGCAAAGTCCAGGAATAGAACAGGTATGCTCTTTTACTTTTGCAAAAACATGGATACCTTATCATAACCAGTGAATCTGTGCAATTTAGAACTGTCACTTTCTAAATTTGTGCATAGTGAATTGCTTCAAAATGTTAGAGAAAAATTGATCTTTGTTGGTTGTAGAATAAATCAGTGAATTTCTCCTTAATTTTTGTGTAACTCTCTTGTTAATATAGTTTCATTTTTCATTGTATCCAATCTCCCCACTTGTGGGATTACACTGGGCATGATGTTGTTGTAGTTGTATCCTGTCTTTTCTTATTTCCTACTACTTCACTTGTAGGCTTCTGTAAAAGGTGCGATCGTGTTAAGTTTTCTCGATCTTTTCAATGTACCCTCATAGATTTTCTGCTGTGTTCTTGAGAACACCGCTTTCTATCAATTTTTAGTGCTTCATGTCATATGGATTCACTCATTTCCCTATGAATATTGGGACTCAATCATAGGATCATTGTTAATCTTCATTTTGATCATTGATGAAAAAACTGTGCAAACAGTAACCAATTTAAACATCCAGTATGAGCTTTACTATTTATGTATAACCTTCCTCATAGCAAATTTTTTGTATATATATTATATACACACAGGTACTTCTGATTTCATATTTTTAGTTTGAAACTGACTACTTAATTGTTGTTCAGGGTGATATTATCAGGCAGATGCATGTTCTGAATCCACAGGTATGAATTTTACTTACGTTTCTTCAGACTTGTCTAGACAGGCCCCAAATTGAGCTTTGGTTTGTTGAGAATCAAATAAAAAGTAACATGAAGCTAGTATAGCCACTTTCCATGGAAATGGCGCATTGCATTTCGTGTTTCCTTTGGTTTCCTTACTTGTTACTTAAACCTATCTCTAGGGAGGATCTTATTAAGGTAAAAATGAGTAGGAATTAAATATTTGAGCGGTTTCAATGTTCTTGCCCAAGAAATTGCAAATTTTCCAATAATCTGTGCTCCAAAGGCTTTCTCTTTCCTTGAGTTATTACTTTTAACTGTTAATATTGTTTTGAAATTTTCTATTATTTCTTTCTGTAAATTCCTCTAAGGTGTTTCATATTGCCTTTGTGAGTGCACCACATGGTCTTATATCTAAGCTTTCATTTTGGAAGTCCTGATATGCCTTTTGAACATTAACAAATTATCTCTTTACCCAGAGGTGGATCCAGGATTTAAACTCTATGGGTTCAACTTTCAAGGTTTTTAGCATTGAACCCATTATATTTTAAAAAATATGGGTTCATATATACTATATTTATAATTTTTATGAATTTTGCACATAAACTTTTACTTGAGTTCAATTGAACCCGTCGCTAACACACTACATCCGCCCCTGTCTTTACCATACATGTAGTTTCTCAAAGCTAATATCTTTCTCTAGCTTGTGAGTGTTTTGCATCCTAGGCAGAGAATTGCCGGCATGTATAGTATCCATTAGTTCCTTCGTCCTAAATTTGCAACAAGGGGAACAATTAGATAACTAAGATAATGAAAGGTTTGGTAGTAATGGAGAACTCACTACCTCAAGGTCATCTTTTCAACAATTATTCAAAAAATCTTTTTGCTAATAATGTGTTATTGGTATGAGATAGACAACTCTTGATATTTAAGAGACACTTTTACCTTTACCTTTTTATCTTCTAAAACATTCTTGTTGTGTCTTTTAGAGTTGCAGAAGTTTGTTAAATATGATGGTTCTGGACAACGATATCTTTATGCGTAAGATTCCTCAAACAAAACCAGCTGAAGCCCCAATGCTTCTTGGTAGTCTTCTTGATAGCCATTTCAAGAAGGCGAAGTTAATTTCAAGGGAGCATTTCTTCGCAAACCCCTCTAGTACACACCTGTTGTAAAGAACAATAAGTACGTAATTATGTGGGCAGACGTTGGATCTAGTTATTTATTTGTTCTTCGCTTTGTGTCTCCTAGTGCGGAAACAACCTCTGGGTTCAAGTTTGCGTACACACCTACTTGTGAGGACTCACTGGGCTTGTTGTTATTGGTGTTGTTTTTTGTCTCCTAGTAGTTGTTTTGGAATGAGGCGTATTAGTTGTTGTAGTAGTCTCCTCGTTGATCTTTGTATAGTAATTTCTCTTGGAAAAATGCTCAACTTGTAGGACATGTTCAGTTGACGAACCCCTTTAGTTTATTTATAGCCTTTTTGGCCAAGTTTGTTTTGGCTAAAAGTGTTTTTTTTTTGTTTTTTACCGAAAGTGCTTTCTTTACAAAAGGTGTTTGACCAAGCTTTTAGAAAGAAAAAACTGTTTTTGAGTATAAAAATAAAAGACATGTTCATGAACAATTTGTATTATAATACAGTTTTAGCACAACATGATTGTTTCTTACTCCTAAAAAATCCATGGATCCAAAGACAGTTAGAAGTATGTTTCACAAATGACTATGAGACGAGAATCAAGAAATTAGTTGATAAATTGATGTGTACCTAATTTATTAATGTTTGGTTTTAAATCAAGAAGATGGGCGATATATAATTTGATTTAGTATTAAGCTAGAAAAATTTTGAGCAAAACTGAATCAAAGTGAAAGTAAATAATTCATTTTACAATTTTTAAATTTAATAGAACTAGAAATAAAAAATAATAGAAACTCTCTCTCAAAAAGCACTGCACAGACACCATAGATAGATCAAAAATAGCAATAACTACAACTACAAATATGAGTTTCTTCTTCATATTTTTAAACCAGTTTGCATTAAAATTAAAAATCAGAGTTTATTAAATATTTAACAAAAACCAAAAGGGAATCTTAAGTAAATGTCTCAAATAAGCCCTAACTTACCAACCTCTGGTCATTAATCATAGACTTTTCAAAACTAACCAAGCACATATAAAAATTGAAAATTCAAAAAAATAAGGTTCTTTCTATTCAAAAATCTCATGCAAAGTTCTCATTCCATAATTTTAAGCGTGATCAGCAACATTAGATGCAAGACGGAAAGGAAATTCATGGATGAGGTAGCAAACAAGGTGATGAAATACAAAAAA